CTTTTAGCTTTGGCAGGGCGAACAAGTAGGACATCTGCAGGTAGCAGACAGTCTGTCAGTGGCTGGAAGAGAGAGAAGACAGACCACCAGTGCCAGCGCCACTGCCTCCCCAATGGCCTCTCACCCCTTCCATCTGTGGGTATCCCTGCCCCCAGCCCCGATGGGTGAAAAGAAGGGATCCACTACCACCATGTGGGATTCTTTTTTTTCTTCTTCTTTCTTTGCTTTTGAGGTAGTGGGGATCAGACCCTGTGACTTTTGCATGACAAGTAGACACAGGACCCCTGAATCACACTACTGGCCTCTCATTCATACTAGTCTGTAAGTTTTAATGAATGTACATAGATTGTTGAATAGTATTTATTTAACACAGACTTAGGGGCAAACTTCATTTCCTCTGTGAATGCTGAATGGGAAGGTGATTTCTGCAGAAGTTAGAGTGATTAGACTCAATAGCATCCAGGTTGGGCTGGGAGAAGGGGCTGTCAGAATGGACATTGGCTCCATGTGTCTGCATCAGTCCACTGTTATGTCGAGAAATAAATACAGTGGTACTTTGGTACTCACTGTTAATTGATTCTGGGATGTGTGATGAGTAGCAAACAAATTGTTTTGGTTGGAAGGGAAGCAAGTTACAAGGCAGTCGACATTGATAAATTACATTTTGTATGTTGAGGAACAAACAAATGAGGACAAAATTTTTACATTAAAAAAATATGCCAAGGGCCAAATTTCAAAGAAGTCAGGTGCCAATGTATGACTGTAAAGTTTAAATCTACTGTGTGGGTTGAAAGGAGCCAAATATATGACACAAAGCTTTGGGTGACCACATTCCTGGGAGGATTACCTGGAGGATCCTCCTGTCAAGCATGAGTGTGAGCAAAGGGGTGGCTGAGCTTGGCTCTCCTGAGCAGTAATGTCCATTAGGTGGGCCCTTGGAATAGAGGAGCCCTGCCTGAGCAATAACAAAGGGTTGAAGATGTCTGTAAAATTAGAACGCATGTAACCACATTTTGAATATTTTGAATTTAAAAGTCAATAATGTCGAATGTAGTTATGTACCTTTTATTTTCCTTTTTATGTTAGTATCCCACTTAAAATTTTATCACTGAAGGCAAGTTTGCCACTTGGGAAGAGAATCCACAAGAGTAGGGTAGGTTGACTGTAATTGTAGCTGTAGTTGGTCCACATTGCTAGGAAATATATGGAAGAAGCTAGGAATGTAACATGCCTTGATTTTGCACTGCTAAGAAAACACCCCAAGGTTTAGTAGCATAAAACAACAACTTTAATATTTACTGATAGTTCTGTGGATCACAAGTTTGGAAAGGCTTTAGTTAGGGAACTTTCATGCTGGCCTCACCTGAGGTCCCTTGTATGTACGTCTAAGGCAGAGGGTGGCTGGTCAGTCTAAAGACCTGGCTTCCAGTTCAACAGTATGTCTCCTGCAGGCTCTCCCAGGCTTCTTTACATAGTGACTGGCTTCTAAAAGCAGCAAGAAAGAGGAAAAAACCAATGTGCAAGTGCTTTTCAGCCTTTACTTGTGTCATGTTTGCTAATGTTTCATTGACTACATTAAATCATACAGTCAAACCCAGTCACCGTGAGAAGTGGCCACATAGGGATGGGTACAGGAGGATGGGATATATTGGGAGGACCTTCGTAGTATCAGTCTATCGTAGATTGGTATTTAAAGTCATAGGCTCAATTTCAGGTTTTGAGATTTTGGGATTTTGTTACATAAAATGAAACTCATACAGTATTCCAGCATACCTCCAAATTCTGTTTCCCAAAACTGTCTGATCCTTGTTTCATTTTAAAAAAATAAAATCCCAAAGGTAAATTATATTTAGATGTTTATAGATCATCTGCTGTCTTAGGGAAGCAGATTCTTTATGTATGTGTGAGGGGGTGTTGCTCAGGTAGCTTTTATATTATCCCTAAATGAGTACCACATAGAATTAGCCCTTTCTAAATGGGTTCAGATACGCAAAGACTAATGGAGGTTTAACTAGGGTAGATGTCCCTATTCTGCATTTAATAAAAATAGAATGAAATTATGCAAGTATGTAGATAAGCTAATCATCTGACCTAATCAGCAATGCAAATTTTTCAAAAAAACCTTTCTAATTACTTCCTCATCTTGGCTGAATGTATGGATAAAAAGAGTTTCCCAGCATGATGGTATCAGATGTATTTCATAATATTTATTGAAAATATTGGAAAGAAATCCTCAATTATGATGCTCCTGAAAAGTACATCAAAAAAGATATGTTATTTAACATATTTTATACTTTCATTAAGATATAAACATAACATAATTTAGATGATCATGCTACAACTCCTACGCAAGTTATTTAGAATAATTTGAACTTCTAGAGCCAGATTGCTTCTTGGTTAACTGCCTGTTTTTTCCTTGAGTTGAATTACTTACCCATGAGAATTCCAGTTGTCTTGGGCAGAAAGCACCACCAGAATATTCTCTTTTTTGGCTATTTGTCAGTTTGATACTTGGCAAATGTGTCTTAGTGTACAATGTTTCACCAGCTTTAAATGTTGTATTGTTGACATTTCAAGGCATATGTAACACCACACAGTATGGGATTCAGAAGCCTAGATAGATCTGATGTTCATTTTCTTGGCTGGCTTTGAATAATTACGAACAGCTGTTAAATGAATCATTCTAGAACAGGATTGCTCAAAAAGAACTGTCTATGAATTCCTGCCTTCAAAGTGCCTATATTTTCCCTGAGTCCTGTAAGAATTATTCATCTTTATCTTCTGTTCTGCAAGCTGCTCAGTATCTTTCCATATAGATGGTGTTTCAGATAACAGACCACACATAACAGCAGTCGTCCCATGAGATGATATCACCTGCTGCCTTTGTAGCTGTAAGCATACTCTTTAATGATCACCTAACAACACATTTTTCTACCTGTGTCATTAAGCAATGCATGACTGTGTATTCCTTTCAGTGTAAGTTAGCTTGAAGTAGTTTCTGTTACCTAAAGCCAAAATAAATCTAAAGTGATATGGTTCCTACAGTGCCATTTGACTGGCTGCACAGCTAAGCTCTGTGTTATTAGTTGGTGATGGAACCACAGTCCTGCAGTTTGTCCAAAAACCCCTTTCTGGGGCACCTTCTCTAGAGATCAGATGGGAAATTAACTGATTTTGTTCCACAGTGTGTGCTACAAAGCAGACGTTCAAAAGCTTCTATGACTGTTACTTCATAATTTCTGGCATTTGAGGAAGTGAGTGTTGTATTTGAATAAGTCATGAATTCAGTCCCTGACAACTGAATTGTTTCATTGGAGGACAAGGCCAGAAAATATGGATGATCCAGTGTATGACTTAACTTCTTTGTTAGTGACTTTGAAACTAGAGCATAGTTATGCAATTGCCAATAAGTGTATTGTTAAATATCTGACGATAGATATCTTGACCTCTTGCCACTAGATACCATCAGCAACCTTCGCTCTTCCAGCAAGTTATGACAAACCAGATGTCTTCAGGTACTTCCAGAATCTCTTAGAGGGCAAATTTGCCCTCAGTTGAAGACTGCTTTATATTGTTTGAATTATTTTAATTCAACCAGCATTTACTAAGCACTTCCACTGTGAAAAACACATTTTGATTTATAGTTACTTCCAGGCAAAATGTATGTCAAATACACTAGTATATTCAGTACTAAGTCAAACAGAAACCAGTTCTTAACCAACTTCAGTTAGAAATATGTATAAACTCTATAGATATAGTTATTTCTTTTTTGTGTATTGTAAATATTGTGTACAATCATAAGGCATCGCTTGTTTGTAGGTTAAAAAATGGTGAATTATCATCACTTCCATTTGATTCTGTCTAATGTGTAATTTACTAGCAAACAATTTGAGAAAAAAGGTCTTTTTTCCAAAATCCAAATGTTGTGACCATGATTTTAAATGTTTGTACCCAAATGTCGTTATAACCATTATTTAAAATATATTTTGCTTTCCTTTACAAGGAGTAGTAGTTTAGAAATCTTATGTAAACATCTTTAAGCAACATCTTTCTGGGATAAATCTGTGAAAATCATGTATGTTTTTATAACAATTTTGTAGCCAAGGGCAAACTTCTGGTCGAGAAGATATGCTTTTTTGTCCTGGAGGTGAGGGCCAGTAGAAACTGTAGGCAGTGGTTGCTAAAGCTGTTCACAGAGAAAAGGTGGTAGAAATAAAATCTAATTTAAAGATATATTTTTACATACTGCATGTTACTGAAGGATTTCATGGTTCTGGTTTTTGGTGTCAGGACTTCAATAGCTTGCTTTGGCAAGTTTATGGTTAGAGAGAAATGATATCTGAAAATACCTTTTCGGAAAATGCAGTCAGAATGGAGATGAGCACTTGTTAGCATATATAAACCTATTCACCACCTCTGCTGTTTTTATGCACTCAAATCTGCACTTACAACAATGATGAACTGCAAGATGACCGTTCACTAAAGTATGAAATATACTTTCAACTTTATTGTAGTCATGTCAACCTTGTTTTTTCTTTTTGAAACTTATCATGAGAACATTAAGCAAATAATACCTCTTCTGCCTCATGTTTTCAACCTTCCAGAGAAAGTGCTAATGTGCAGTTTTTTAGCCAGAATACTGGCAGCAAAAATGAGGAAGAGAAGAAACTAAAGGGTGGGGAGGTAACTCATAAGCCACAAAATCAACTTTCAACCACCCAGGAATTTATAATATTGTAGACATTATAGTTTCTATTCTGCAGTCATCCCTGAAACTCTTGGAGTCTGATGTAGACTTTGTTAGTCAAATGAACAAGGAAGAAAGAGTCAGTGCGTATTCAGTACATACAATACCTAGCTTTCACTAATTCCTGTAATATCTAGAGAATTCCATTTGCACGATATGCACAGAAGAGATACTCCATGCTTGATATTGGTCCAGGACAAGGTTAACTTCTGCACACTAATTTTAATTCATTATATATGCCTTTTTTTCCTAGCACAAATGGACCCCCGAGGCCTATCTCCCAGACAAAGTAAAAGTGACAGTGATGATGATGACCTGCCAAATGTGACCTTAGATAGCGTTAATGAAACTGGATCTACGGCCCTTTCCATAGCCAGAGCAGTACAAGAGTAAGTATCACATTCTCAGGATGAAATGAGAATTGCCACGGTGATCAGTGCATAATGGGAACTGCCACATCTCTAGTTCCCCAGGCGTGTCATTCTAGCTCTCAACTGGCACACATGACCACATCTTTCCATGCAGCCAGTGCTCCACGGGAGCAGATTAGGGTGAAGCATGGAGCATCTTCAAAGAGATAGAAGTGTGTGTCCTGACTAGATGCAAGACCTCCTTGCATCTTTCCTACTATCCTCTGCACCTCACTGAACTCTGAGGGGGAAAAAAAATTATTCTTTTTTAATATCATTATTCTAGTATCGTCATCATTTTTATATATAAAATGAAGAGAAAGAAAACATAGCAAGTATCTTATTTTGACAAGAAATTACAAAATAGCTTTTTGGAAGACTAAATTTGGAATATGTTAGCCCTTTGAAATACAGGAATCATACATAATTTCCAAAGGACATTTTTTTCTCTCCTTTTACCCAGAACATAGGTCTAGATTCCAGCCCCTGATTATTGAAAATAGCTGCTGTTCTATCATTGTCACCTCTTTGTCTAGAATTGAACTTGTGTCAGTCCTTGTCATCTTTTTAGTAGAATATTTTTTCAGCTTTATTGAGGTATATCTGACAAAATTGTATATATTAAAGTGTACAACATGCTGATTTTATACACATATACATTGTGAAATGATTACCATGATCAAGTTAATTAATACACCCATCACCTCACATAATGATCTTTTTGTTGTGGTTTCTGGTGAGAATGCTAAAGATCTATTTCTTAAAAAATTTTAAGACTGCAGTACATTATTACTAATCTTAGACACCATGATATGTATGAGAGTCTCAGAGCTTACGTTAACCAGAAGCTGTATTCTTTGATCAACATCTCATTTCCTCTTTTGTCCCCAGCCTCTGGAAACTAGCATTCTACTTTGTTCCTGTGGATTCGACTCTTGGTTGTTTGAGATTCCACACATAAGTGATAGCTCTTCAGTTTGTTTTTTATACACTTTTCAAGCCATTGTACTTTGTATAAAAGGGCAAATTTCGGTTTTTAAATCATATGTGTATATTAGGATGTGCCAGTTGTATTATTCGTGTCATGGTTTTTTCATTAAAAGACAGGTAAAGAATATACCACGCTATTACTTAGGAAGTCCTATAGTGTCCAGGTCCATCAACAGTTAATAAGTTGTCATTCAAGCCTGGGTATGTTGTGTAAACACTGGGAAGTGCTAGATGCTGTTAGGTGAAGGAACAAGAATGTCCTCGGAGACCTCTTAGAAATAGATGTCTACCAAAACTTACAATAATATAGTGAAGAAAATGTTTATTCTTAAATACATACATAATTCTTATAACATTTTTTTAAATTGTGCAGATAGGTGGACTCATATTCAACTTTGAATATATATAATTGTGAGCCTGTCTTTCTACTTAGTTTCCCCTTAGTTCTCCTTAACGCGTATGACTGTTTCACTGTAAACTTTTCTTCCCTTTTCTTCTGTTTGCCTTTGTATCTTGATGCTTTCTGTTAAACAAAAAAGCTGTCAAAACCAAAAATGAACCCATATATTCTAGTATATGATTGAGAAGCTAGTGTGCTAAATAATAAAGGGATAAGACATTAACTTGGCCTGTAAATTAGAAGAGGATTTCTAAAGCTACCTATTGATCTTTTTATTTCTAGCACTTTCTAGGGCTTTTCTAAGACTAAGAAGGATGAATATTGATAAAAGTCAGAATTTTCTTTGTAATGTAAGAAGCAAGTTTTAAAAACCCTGAGAGATGAGTTCACATTTGCCTTTCCAAGCAAAGACTAAAGGAGCTATTTGTAAAGAAGGGTTCAGGGGTTTATCATCTCTTCATTTTGGGGCCATCAGTAGAGCATTGGTGATGAGAAAAAGATGAAAAAGAAGGGTATTTAGGAAGATTAATGCTACAGGGGCATCAGACTGCCTTATTCTAAGCCACCTCTTCTCTGTGTGGGTCTCTGACAAAATGCTAAACCATGGGTTAAGTATTTTCAGTGGGAACACTTTGGCCCTTCCCCATTCTGGTTCATATTGCCTCATGCATAACCATTATAGTTTGAATTTTTATTTTGGTGTTATGTTTAAATGACATTCATATGTATAGCACAAACCTTAATGTGCTAGAAATTTCCCCCCTAATTATCTAGTATTATGCATGTTAATGTTTTTTAAAATGAACTTTCATGAAAACTTGGGTTTAAAAAATGTTTCCCTTGATTTGAAATGTAAAAGTTGTTAGCCAAAATGCATTTTCTCCCCAGATGTTCAGATATGTGTGTCTTTAAAGAACATTGCTTGGTGACTAGACCAGTTCCCTGAGGCCACCTCAATTTATACAGACTTATGCAGTGAGGGTGCTGAATTGTGCAAACTGTCCAAATATACTACACTTGTATGCTTGAACTGATCATTTCCACATTTTCATCGATTAACTTGATTCCTGTTGGTCAGTTTGGCATTAGTGAATTCACATAAACTGGAGGAAGCAGCTACAAAAATATTCACAGATGGGCTCTCCTCTTGTTTCAATTTTATAGATACTGCTCATGTCAGAAGTCAGGCATTCAGTAATTCTGATAAAGCCAACTTCCAGCGATTCATAGAACATCTGCTTTGTTTTGGTCTCTTTAACAACTTGACAGACATAATTATGAAATAAGTGTCTAGAGAAAGAGGGGTAAAGGCACATGACTAGAACAAATTATTATAATTAACTCAAATCCTACACAAAAATAACAATATTTTTTAAGTAGTAAAGTTTAGTTTTATTACCCAGAACCTCTAGTTACTGTTCTCTCTTTTTACTTTGTCTTAATTCCAACCATTGCCTGATCCTTATTTTTTAATGTACATGGAATAATCAAGTTCCATTAAACTAAAGTATAAAGGATTAATAAGTGAAAGAAGGTCCTCACCAGAGGAATTTCTGTCTTACCAGAATCCAGATAAAATAATAAAGAAAGAGTAATTTCAGTCAGGGTGAAATGTAGAAAGGGTGTGTAGAGGACGGAGGAAGCAGATGGAAATTTGTTGAAGATATTCCCATTTCCCAGGATGAGTCCTTTCAAAATTGGTAAATGCAAATTACTGAGTCACTCATTCCGTATCTGCCTGGCCTGCTGTCTCTGATCCTGATTATAACTCTCAAAAGGAAACAAATACAACCAAATTAGTAACATTACTAACTTTCACTGTGACTAACCTACTGATACCTGCACCTGTTAAAATGATATTCTTTGTAAGAGGCTTTTTGTCAATCACACTTAAGCTAATTAAAACACATGTCTTCCTTCCCCTATTTTTATCATATGGCTTATGTGACATGTTCCTCCTCTTGAAGACAAATAACTTGTGAGCTTCTGAAAAAGAATAGTCTTACCATTAGTGCTTTTAATCACTTAAATGCTATTTGGAAGAACTGATATGGTAGCAAGTTAGATACCCTATAACTTCCTTGACACTTCCCTTGTAGGTAATTCAAACGTCATGATTCTTAATTTCATCTCCTCTGGATGATTGTGTTAAGGTCTCTTAAATATAGCAGAGAAGGTGCTAGAGAAGAGAAAACAGAAACTGTTACTGAGAGCATACTTTTGGCAGATTTTGTGATAACTCCTAATTTTCATTTAATTTGCCCATGGTACTGTTTTCATCCCACAAATAAAGAAACAGAGACACTGAGAGGTTTATTCAACTCCTGGAGATCCCACAGCAAGTAATTAGCAGAGTTCATATACAAACTCAAATTTGCAAACCTGCAATCCCTCTTTAAAGGGTACTAACAGTCCCTTGTTCTTCTGTTATGGCTTTAAAAATCTCTGTACCATAACTATTTAAAATCAGCATGTCTTTGAGCCTTAAACCTCAGTAAACATATAACTTGTGTGACATAATTATAGAGTTCCTAATGATTGTTACGTCAAAAATAATCTGGTATAGGGAGAAAAAATTCTGTCAAATATATTCTCAGAAATGTTTTTCTAAAATGGATTTAGCAGTGGAGCGTGGTGGTGCATGCTTGTAATCCCAGCACTCTTGGAAGGCTGAGGCAAGAAGATTGCAAATTCCAATGAAGCCTAACTTAGTTTGCAAGACCTTGTCCCAAAATTAGAAATCAAAAAAGGTCTGGGGATGTAGCTCAGTGTAGAGGCCTTGGGTTCAATCCCTAGTACCACTGCCATTTAAAAAAAAAAAAAAAAGATTTAGCTTCAGCTTCTGTAAATCACAGCATTGTATTGAACTATGCAGAAATAATATAAAGTATTAATATAATATAAACTGTAAGAGTGCTCTTTAACTAAGCTTTAATGCTATTTACTATTTTCTTTATTTTTAACTATTGCTGGGAAAATGTAATTTCAGGTGTGGTTTAATATAACATTTATGCTGACACTTCCAAGCCCCCAAGTGAATATTCTTTGTAGAATTGCTTTCTGCCCAGCTGTAAATAAAATAAAAAGTTGTCTAAAGGTTGAAAGGTCGCTATGATCTTATTTTCACACCTTGACTGAAAGATTTGAGCATGTTTGGGTTATGTCTCTTTTTTTACTGATAGACTGAGTTGATTCTGCTCTGTGAAAAAGTCAGAGCTTCGTGTATTTGTTCTCTAAATTATTTCCTGGGCTTCTCTGAAATGCTTTCCAGACTTTTGGGACAGTAAGAGGCTATCTGTTCCTTTAATAATCCTAATGGAGCTGAGACATCTTCAGAACCTCACCAAATCCTTCATAGAAATACCTTTTGTCTGAGAAGTGTAAGTCTCTAATAGCATGACCGACTTCCTTTCCTGGTGTAACATGAGACAGGGAGGGCATTCACACTGGCCAAGGTTGTTTGCTCTTTTTTTTTTTAAGGAGACCAGAAAAAGCCCTGATTTACTATGAATGATTTCAGGTAAAATCTAAAGTATGTGCTTGTCCATCATCAACCCAACAGTCTTGTGCACCTGAAAAAATTAAAAAT